CTCCGCGGCAGGGGCGCGAGGGATCCTCCGAGGGAGAGCGACAGAGAGAGGGAGGCCGGGAGAGGGAGAGGGAAGCAGGGAGAGGGAGCGAGGGGGGAGGGAGGGAAGGAGAGGAGCGAGGGGGGGGAGGGAGGGAAGGGGGGGGGAGAGGGAGAAGGAGAGGGAGAGGAGGAGAGGGCGCAACAACTCGAGCGAGGAGCTCGTCCGTGGGCGGAGGGCACAAGCGCCTCCTGCCCGCGCCTGGTTGGCAGGAGGGGCCGCATGTGAATGGCAGAGGTGCCCCAAAAAAAACCTCCTCCTCCTCCTCCTCTCTCCTCCTCCTCCTCCTCCTCCTCCTCCTCCTCCTCCTCCTCCTCATCCTCCTCTCCTCCTCCTCCTCCTCCTCCTCCTCCTCCTCCTCCTCCTCCTCCTCCTCCTCCGCCTCTTCCTCCTCCTCCTCCTCCTCCTCCTCCTCCTCCTCCTCTCCTCCTCCTCCTCCTCCTCCTCCTCCTCCTCCTCTCCCCCTCCCTTCCTCCTCATCCTCCTCCTCCTCTCTCCTCTTCCCTCCTCCTCCTCCTCCTCCTCCTCCTCCTCCTCCTCCTCCTCCTCCTCCTCCTCCTCCTCCTCCTCCTCCTCCTCCTCCTCTCCTCCTCCTCCTCCTCCTCCCTCCTCCTCCTCCTCCTCCTCCTCCTCCTCCTCCTCCTCCTCCTCCTCCTCTCCTCCTCCTCCTCTCCTCCTCCTCCTCCTCCTCCTCCTCCTCCTCACCCCCCCGCGAGGTCGAACCAAATGCCCCGACAGGAAAAAACTGGCGGGTTGCGGTGACCATGGAGCGGCGCACCCCGTCAGCATTCGCTTTTGCTCGCAAGGCTCCAGTTGCAGTGTCAGGCGGCCGTGGAGAGAGCCGCGGCCTCAGCAGAGACAGGCGCAGCGACGCGAAGCTGAGAGGAGACCCCAGATTTGGGTGCGATCTGGCACGCGCGCGCCTCGGAGCCCCGCGAGAGGAAGGAGCCGCCCTGGGGCGCCCCCCTCGGCGGCCCAGCGCTCGCGCAGCGGAGCTGGTTGCCAGGAGCTCTCGCAGGGCGCGAAGTGCGAAAGGAAGGAGGAAGTCGGCATTGGTGCGCCAGCCAGCGGTGAGCAGCGAGCCGTGCCTGGAGACAATCCTGGAGAGTGGCCCCAGAGAGGGCAAGCGTGCGGAAGGCCTCTTTGAGGTCTTTCCAGGCGGACTGTGCTCCGCGGAACCTGTCGAGACGGGGTGTAGACTGCTCCTCGACGTTGCTAACTGTGAGTGCAAGGGCGGTGGGCCGTTGCTGAAGCGCCGAGCTATTTGCGGCGAGCGCGGCTCCACAATCCCGTGGATGCTGTGGCCTGGCTGAAGCGAAGCGCTGCGTGAGGGCACTCCTCCGTTCTGCACGCTGCGCTGGGGTCAACGGGCGCCTACACCCTGGCGCGCGTTACCAGGGCCATTGGTCCCCGTTCACTGGTGGAGCAGGGGGCATGCCTGGTCGCAGGAGAAACGCTGCGTTGGGGGGCCGGGTGCGCCGCAGCACTGGCCAACCCAGCTGGTTGGGACGACGGCGCTGGCCCATCGGGAGCAGTCCGCGACCCCTCCCCTACCACATGGCGTTTCTGTCGCAGACGTGCCGAAAAGCGTGGCTGTCTGCGTCGGAAGGGGGAAGGGTTGGTTCCGTACTGCCTCCCACGTGGTAACTCCAGAGTTGTGCTGCGTGGGTCGCAGTGGATTGCCTGCTCATGGGTCTTTGTCGTCATGTGCCTGCATGGGCGTGGAAATGGGCTGTCGTCGTCCGCGTCGCGGCAATCGCTGTCGCGGCTGCATGGTGCGCGAGGGGGATCGTCGTCGTCGTCGTCGTTGTCAAGGGCCCCCCACCCCACAGGCCGAGCGGACCATCCTCGTCGTCACCTGTCAAAGTTGTCGGGGGGGATGTCCCATCGATCGCCAAGTTCATCGCAATATTCTGGCGCGGGTAGGCCTGGGGACTGGAGCGGGTCGCTGGGGGGACCCGGCGGCTCGTCTCCGCCCCGCCCCGCGGTAAGCGGGTTGGACCTCATCCTGCGGAGCTCCGATCCGGAGCATCCCGCACATTTGCCGGGGAGCGGATGAACGCGGCGGCGGCGGTCGCACATCGCGACCGCGGCGCTGCGAGAAACAGCCGTTTACATGAACGCCTCTATAATTAGCTAGCTTTGTACTGAGAGCTCGGGGGGACCTTCAAAGGGGGGCAGGCGGAGCTTGAGCGACAACCCTACAGAAAATCAACAGAGACGATCCACTCAACCACGGCACTGAACATCCGACGCAGCAACCGGTGCAACCTGGAGAGTGCCGCGAGCGCGCCTAGAAGGGGAGGTCCCCCCGTGAGGTGTTAGAAGGCGTGGCCGAGCCACCTTGGACCAAAACCTCGAGCGGCGCCTGACCTGGCCTCCAGGCCAAACAGGGCCCGCAGAAAACTCGGAAACGCATCAGTCCCAAGGGTGATAGCCCCAGGGTGGGAGTGGCGGGGCCGAAACTGCAGCCATATAAGACAGTAAGGGGGGTGACGATTTCGGCGGCTAGAACATTGACGATGCTACTGTAAAAGTGTGTTTGGAAAACGCGTATTTACACTAACGCCTCTATAATTAGCCAGCTTTGCACTGAGAGCTCGGGGGGACCTTCAAAGGGGGGCAGGCGGAGCTGGAGCGACCACCCTACAGAAAACCAACAGAGACGATCCACTCAACCACGGCACTGAACATCCGACGCAGCAACCGGCGCAACCTGGAGAGTGCCGCGAGCGCGCCTAGAGGGGGAGGTCCCCCCGTGAGGTGTTAGAAGGCGTGGCCGAGCCACCTTGGGCCCAAACCTCGAGCGGTGCCTGACCTGGCCTCCAGGCCAAACAGGGCCCGCAGAAAACTCGGAAACGCATCAGCCCCAGCCCCAAATACGTCGAGACTGGCATACATGCCTAAACACCAGCCTTGCAACAAGATGAGGGAGGGAGGGAATGGGTTATTCATCTATGTTGTGCTCCAGCCCCCCTGTTATTATAAAACCCCGGTCCGATGTCATTCTGATCTTCACTCTGAGGAAAACGGGCGAGGACAGGGGACACGTCAACCTGCCTCCAGGCACGCCCCGACTATATCAAAAGATAGGGCTGATAGTAAAATCCACACACACACACACACACGAGAAGCTGGAAACTGGCCCGCCAAAAGGGCTGGGCATTGCCACAAACGCAGATCAATGAAGCAAACCAGTCAGGCCCAGCACTCATGATTCTCGTGTGGCGCTCGATTTGCGCCTGTGTCGAGTGCGAGAGGCGGTGCTAAGGCGACCTGTCGTCAGCACCCGCCCCCCCTCGAAACTCGGGCACTCGACCTCCTGGCCGCGCGCCCGCCCCAGCACTTCAGCAGCTGCGTTGCTCGTTGGGCCTGGGCGGCGGGCGACTCCTTGATCCACGCAATCAGAGTCTCAGCCGGCGCCGCCCAGAAGCCTACGCCTGCACGCCCCTGCTCATCAGTCATCTTGCCCAGCTGGCTGACCAGCCTGTGCGTCGTCGTGTAGCGCGCAAGCGCCGCTGTCGTCTGCCACCTGCCCTTGTGGCGGTCGGACTCCAAGCAGCCGCCTCCTGCCACGAAGCTGGCCGCCCCCGAGTGCCGTACGACATGCGGGGGGCCCACGTCAGCAAGACCAGCGTCGCCCAGCTGCCCCAGCTTTTGCCACGACTTCAGCACCCTGGCCGACGTCGGAAGCCGGTCCCTGTGGTCCTGGAACGCGTGCGTGGAGCCGCTGAACAGCACGTTGGCTCGCCCAGAGCCCAGCTGCCGAACGTAGCCCACGTCGGAGATATAGTCCGCAAGCTCCTGGCCCCTCGCCTCGAAGGTGTCGAAGCCCCGCTGGTCCCCCGCCGGTCCCCGATAGCACTTCCATGAGGGGCGGGAAGGCCCAGATGTAGCTGCCTGCCGGGTTCTCCAGCGTGAAGGGTATCGCCATGGTCCCGTAGATCTTCAGCACCTCCACCGCCAGACACAGCAGGTTCCCCTCCTCGAGCTTGGCCTGGCTCGGCCCGTCGAGGTCGGGGAGGCCCCCGATGTGCTCCGCTGATCGCAGAGGCGGGGTTCGTGCCTTCGAAAAGGTAGCGCAAGGGGGCGCGATATGCACCCACCAGAACCAACCTTGGCGCACCCGTCTCAGCAACAACTCCAGGTTCTCGCTGACCAGCACGTCGAACTCGACCCCCTCCGAGATGCCCCACGCCTCTCCCCAAGAGTTCGTGAGCTCCTTGATGGCATCCAGCAACCTCGACGAGCCCGAGAACAGCTCCAGCACCCCCGGGCGCCCCTCCCGCGGTCGTGAAGGCAGGTCCTCCTCGTCGCCGACGGCCTCCTCCTCTCTCTCCATCTCGGTGTAGGTCTCCTCCACCTGGGGCCCCCAGAGCCCCTCGGTGCCCCGAGCGGCCTCCGCACGCGCTTCCTCGGGGTCGCAGTCGCAAGCCAGAGATCCAGATCCACTCTCAGATGCGTCGGTCATGTGCGCCTCCAAATCCGACTCAATGTAGATCGAAAGGTGCACAACCGCCGAGAGCTCGCTCTTGACCGTCTCTGGCAACCTCCGCGGCACGACACACTCCTCCACCTCGTAACTTCTGATCCACCTGTAGGTCTCGTCCAATATGGCAAAAGCGGACCTGAACACCATCATGGTCCACGTCCAATGGCCTGCCAAACTTGCCAGAACGGAGGGAAGGGCGGTATCCTCCAGCAAGAGAGCCTCCGTCGCCAGGACCAGCTCCGCAAACTTCTTCGTCTGGACCCGTAGGACATACGGTCTCCATGCTGGAATCGCAAGCCCCACTCCCGTGCCGGGTCCCTCTCCCCAGGCTTCCGCGTGGATCGCGAGGCCCTTGTGGTTCAGGAGCTGCTTCACTTCCTCCTTGTCTTGCAGGATTTCCCCCTCCTCGCCAGGGCCCTTCAAGGTAAAGCCGATGTAGTCGTCGATGTACAGCATGAGGATGAGCTTC